TTTCTTCTCTCTTTTTCTTCCCTTTGCCATGAGCTTTGTGGCTTCTCTCTTTTTCCTCTCTTCTTCTTTCTTCTCTCTCTTTTCAGCTATAAGGCTTTGTGTTTTTGTGTGTGATTGTTTATGGAAGAATGAGGCAGCAAGTTGATTAGTGGACAAACAAGTAGAGTTGTAGTAGGTTGGCCATCCATACATTGAATGACTTATAAGATTACAACATTAGATACTTAAAGGATAAATAGAAGTTCTAACTCAAAATTATTCGTGGCTGATTTATAAAATATAATCAGAATAGTTTATATTATAAATCACTTCTATAAAAATCGTGTCCATAAAAAAAATTAATTAAAAGTAAGGTCACGTAATTGTATAGTAAAAACAGATGAACAGAACTGATAGAAGTACAGACTCTGATTCAAACCGGAATTTTGAGTAGGAAGCATTGTTCTTAGTCGTTCACCTACCCTTCCACCACCGTGTTCTACTTGCATGTATCAGTTTCTCCGCTCCCTCTCTCAACAAACGCAGCTTGTTTCATAAGATGGAAGGTAAAATTTTGCTTCTTTCTGTGAAATTTGAACTAATATCAATCTTCCCATTTAATAAAAATTTATTCTTTTTTTTGTAAGTTTTTCTCAGCTCTGTGAGCTTTGTGAAAGTGACGATTGATGCATAAAATCAATTCTTTTCAGTCGGGATTGACGCAATTAGAGAATGTAGAATTTGGGTTCTTTGGTAATTTTGTTTTCAATTGGTATTCTGAAGTGCAATCCCAACAGTTACTCTGCTAGATTATTGAACATGAAACTGGCGTTTTTTTTTTTGTTTTTATTAATAAATGTGAATCTGAAGTTGGTTTGGATTAATGGTGAATGTAATTGTTCTTAATAAGTAGATTATATTGATGAAAGATAACGAAAATACGCATTGAGTCGTTGTTTAGATTGTGAGCTGTGTTTTGCTGACAACTATATGAACTGCAGTTTATATATTCTGCCCAGCAGATCGAATCCTAATTCTATCTATTATCTGTTATGCGCTTTGTTGATATTATGCAAGTTTTGATCAAGTAGTTATCACATTGTATCGCATTTCGTAAATAAATTTAGATGAAACCCTCTTCTACTCAGAATGTCAGTTCTCCGATGTTGTAGTTTGAAATAACAAAAGATTGCACTGTTTTGTAGAATTGACCCTTCTTAGCTCACAAGGAAATAATATTGATGAAATTTGGAAATGGGTTTCAAGGCTCACAAACACTGCTGATGAACAAACTCTCTTGATTAAAATTTTATGACTTTGAATCTGATAAAATTGTGAACCATCTATGCAGCAATGTCTGATAAAATTAGGATCCACTCCCGCAATGTTTAATAGCACAATTACTGAAGATAATTCTTTCTTAGGCCCCGCCGATGGGTCTATTATGATAACAGGTAGGGTATGCATGTTCATTTGTAAACTATGTGATATCATACCCCCTAGAGTTCTGGCCTTATTGTCTCCCTATGTGATCTCATCTTTGTTGGCTTCCCCTGATGTAAAGTCTAATATATATTATATATTGTGTTATTCCAACAGCAAGTCATTTGCCTTACAACAGGAATGGGTTCAAATTTTTCACAAACTCCAGAGGTCTTGGGAAACCTGACATTAAGAACATCTTAGAGCGTGCTGCAGATATATATGATAAATTTACAGTAGAAGGTTTGACAAACTCAAAACAAAAATTGCTTGCCTCCGTAAAGAGAGTTGATTACATGAATGTATATACATCTGATCTTGCAAAGGCAGTCCGCAAAGCTGCAAGAAACATAGATATGACTTCCTATGAAATCTTCAACGTGGTGGAAATGTACTGAGATACATCTTTTCATCCTATCACGAAGTGCAATATTGGTTGTAGTTTACTTCTCTGTTCAGTGTCCAACACCAACTCCTTCATTTTGTAAAACCTAGTTTTTATTATTAGTTCCTCCTTTAATTTTCTGTAAGCAGCTCTTTTATTGCCCTTCCATTTAAATTTTTGTCCTCTGACTGCGCTTTCATCTTTTTTTTTTTTTTCTACTTTGTTTTGTGTTGTATAATCTCAGAGAAGCCACTTGAAGGGTTCCATATTGTAGTTGACGCAGGGAATGGAGCAGGAGGATTTTTCGCTGTAAGTTTTCTTGTTTTGGACGTTGATATTTGCTTCCTACCTGTACTGTTAGCCTTTTTTATTTCGTATTTATTCTCTAATTTGAAGGCAGTATGCATACTCAAGTTAATCATAAGTGTTTTATTTCAATTTTATTAGGCAAAAGTGCTTGGACCTCTTGGTGCAGTCACTACTGGTAGTCAGTTCTTGGAGCCAGATGGTAATATTGGTGGTTGAACGCAAAACTATTGAAGTTGTACATAAATTATTGAAATTTTTAATGAAATTGATGTTCTTGGATCAGGTATGTTCCCAAATCATATACCCTACCCAGAGGACAAAACAGCAATGAAAGCTGTCACCCAGGCAGTCCTTGATAACAAAGCTGATTTGGGGATCATCTTTGATACAGATGTCAATAGGTACATTTTCTTGCGACCCGTAGATCTATTTTATATTCACACTGTTTGCTTCTTTCTAATTAGTGTTGCCCTTAGATCTGCTGCTGTGGATTCTACCGGCCTTGAGTTCAACTGGAATCGTCTGATTGCCTTTATGTCTGCAATTGTCCTTGAGGAGGTAAGATTTTTCTTCTTTTTTTGCACCAAGGCTCGTGTCAAATATTGTTTATGGTTTTACTTTTCCTAGCATCCGTGAACAACTATTATCACAGACAGTGTCACTTCAGATGGTCTCACCACATTTATTGAGAAGAAACTTGGTACGAAAAAACCGAAAATGGTATACTTCTCTGATTGTAGTGAATGTCTTATAATTTTAGCAATTTCTTGTAGGGGGAAAGCACCACCGTTTCAGAAGAAGCTACAAAAATGTCATTGATGAAGCTATTCGTTTGGTAAGAAAAACGGTCTAGTTATCCTTCTTACACTGTTTATTACTTGTACAAAATCAATAACGAAGAACTAACAGAAAATCTTGCATCGAAGTGCTCGTAGCGTTAGAAGCCCCACAATGCTTCTAGACATGTTTTTGCGCATTAGAAAGGACGACTCAATGGGGTTCTTCTTCCACTGTTTATTACTTGTACAAAATCAATAAGGAAGAACTAATAGAAAATCTTGCATCGAAATGCTCGTAGCTTTAGAAGCCCCACAATGCTTCTAGACATGTTTTTGCGCATTAGGAGAAATATGGTCCTTCTAGACATGGTTTGCACGTTAAAATCTAGGAACTATCAATGAACCAAATAAAATTTTTCTAACCAATCAAGTTGTAGCTACCCATCGACAATTAGAACAGCTGCTGGCAATGAAATCCTTTTCTTCTTTTCTTTACACCCATTCCCTTTTTGTAAATATTTTCTGTCCAAGCCATAGATCTTTTGTGCATAGTGTTTGCATTTTATATATTGTTTTCTATATACTAAACATACCCGTGAAATAAACAGTTATATCTTTCTTTCTAGCCAGCATTGTGTTAATAATTCTTGTCTAATTGTGCATCTTCTTTTTCTTGTCAACTAAGTATATATGGTGATACAGAACTCGATCGGAGAGGAATCACATCTGGCTATTGAGACAAGTGGCCATGGAGCTCTCAAGGAAAACCACTGGCTTGATGATGGCGCGTACCTCATGGTAGGCTTTTGATTTAACACTGCAGCAGGGTCTCTCTACACTTTAGATTGACATACGGCTCATGATTTGTGAAATTTGCTCAACTTTCTTTATCTTTTCCGGTTCAAAATTTTAAATAAACTTGCTTCAGCACGCGCTTCAGGGCAAAGTGGCGGCAGTAAAGTTTTAACCGGTCTTTTATAAGGTATTGAGGAACCAGAAATTTCAGTGGAGTTGAGATTAAAAGATTCATCAGTTATCCAGATCTTAAAGGAGGGTATGTTACTGTATACGTTTATCCTCTTCTAAGTGTTTCTTCTGCGTGTGTATATGCTATGAAGTTGCTGATAAATTGCTTTCAGAACTTTCCGAGACTATGGAGAAGCAGTACTGAAACATTTGGAGAACTACGTCGACTCTGATCCAAAGCTTCAAAAAGCCCCTGTTAACTACGAAGGAGTAAGATTACTTCTCTTCACGCCGAGTTTCTGGCAATGACGGATGGTTTCTTCTTATTAGACTCACTTCATGATCCTGTACTTCCCCTTAACATCGAGGTAGGCAAAAACTCATCACCACTTGCAATCATTTCTTAATGTACTGCAACTGATACAAAGTTTTACACTGCAGGCACTGAGCAACAGCGATGCCGTGTTACTTGGAAATGTTGTGCTTGGTGCTGTGAAGGAGTTCCCAGCTTTTGGATACATCTGCTTTAGACAAATTTGTCCAAGCATCATAAAATTTACATCTATCCAAGTGGAAAATCCTTTGGCTTCTTCGGCAACTTCATGCCTCGAGAACTGTTTTCTGGCATTGGTTGTTAGGCACCATAGGATCTCGAAGACATTTGTTTACCTATATAATACCACTGTACAACGATTGAGTTTCCCGTACTTTGGCGGGCGGTTTAGAACTATAAACACGTCGAATAACGTGGAATTCTAAGGGGCATATTATGAGAGCATCTGATTGTCCATGGTAAAACGTTGCAATTTTGATTTCGTTTGAAATGTGAACCTTTAGACATCACTAGTATGTTTTGTGATCAATGTCTCTGTTTTAGAAATTGTATACGAGCAACAGCAATTTATTTTTTTCCGTCTGGTACCATGGCTGTATTTCGTTCCGCCATGACGATGGCCATGGCCTTGGCCTTTGATGGAGGTCATGGCTGTTCAGTTACTAGGTTGCATATTCAGCGATGAATACGAGCGGTGTAAACATCAGGGGAGGCAATTTCTGGCACGACACGTTACACAACTTTGAAAAAATTAAACTATAAAACGGGCAGAAATATACCTTCACAAGACAATTGGGCAAAGGATGCTGCGACCTACCCCAAATATCTACAAAATTACGTTTTATCCAATGAAAAATACAAGTTCTTGGCACAGATGCATCTTTCCATGTATGTAATTATATACAACCTATTCTCAAACATCCTAGTTTCTGTTCCTCATTCTTTTTTGTCTTTCCAAATGTTTTCTTCTTTTGTCTGTCTCCCTTGTTAGTTTCTTCACATGTTCCTAAAGGAGTCTAAGCAGAAGTCTTGGGTTCAAAAGCTTCATCATGAAGTTGAACCGAACATCCGGACCGGTCTTGGGCTGGGGCCAGTTTGCTCCTTCAGGCACCTTGATGCTTTTGAAACCCTGGCCTTTGTACAGCTTTACGGCTCCGGGATTGTTCAAGTCGCAGTGCAATGCAATGGCACGGCAATCCCAGCTCCTGGCTTGGGCTTCTGCTTTAGCTATTAGCTTTTTAGCTATTCCTCTTCGCCTAAAACTCTCCCGGACAGCAACGTTTGACACGTACGCAACTCCTTTCCTGCAAACAAAAGAAAAAAGAACGTATACCAGATGAGCATATATCTTATCAAATTTTACAATGAACATCTAATGTCATGGGATTAATGATTTGCAGAATTGAACTCTCGTTAATTACAACTGAATAGAATGGTCAGTCTACAAACGGGGCTAGCCATCACTGTATTATTTCCAACTTCCAAGGTACCATATGAATCTAAGAATTTCTCTTCGTCAGCGCTGAGCCTATGTATATAAGAAATATTCCCACTCTCAGAATATATCATTTATGCATGCACAACAGAAGAAATTTGAGCGGCAACAGCTGATGCGATGAAGAGAAATTCAGAAGAGACACGGAAAAGGTCTATGAAAGGAAAGGCGGGGGTTGAGGCTGGCTTGGTTGCCGCTCCCACTCTTGCCCTTTGCCTCCGTTTAGGATGAGGCTCTCTCTAAACAGGCCAAGGGATCTGATGAGGATCTCTATAAACAGGCCGAGGGGTCTGAAGTCGGAGATCAAAAGAAGTAGGAGTGAAACCAAACAAGGCCAAAGATGAGGGCTAAATGTGGTTCCACACTATCAGTGAAGAAAGTAACAAATCAACCCTCTTAGTCTAATAATTGTGTTATGAAAGGCTTCTGGTTTACGATCAAAGTTAAAGATGATAAACCGTTCATATGAAGTTGCACAAAGTCGAGGAAAATACCCTTTTTTCATAGAAGACAACACTGATGATTATCAAGTCTGTAACCAAATAAGTTTTAACCAAAATTCAACTCTACTAGTAAGTAGTAAAGTAAAAGCTGCTCAAGGCTTTTAAGACATTATGAACTCACCTTCTCTGCCGAAGAGGCCCTTTTCTCGGAAGAAAATCAGCAACAGTATCCACAGTCAATATTCCAGCCACATACCTCCTATTGAGACTGAACTTCCCATCAAAACTGCCAACCTTAAAATCATCCCTCCCGAAGAGGATCGTTTCATCACCAGCATTACCAATCACAGCAACCAGACAAATCCTCTTACGACCATTTGGTAAAGAAAATCCGGCCAGCATTGCCACCAGCCGGTCAATCCTCAGAACAAAATCTAACGGGAAAGAATACTCGGGGAAGAAGGAGCTGCAATGTGTCTCAGCCACCTCCCAACAGTCCTCTACCCGCGCCTCCCGGACCACAATCTCAGGAGACACCGTGGGAAATAAATCAGCCACTTGACTGGCTCTGCAGACTCCTACATCCAAAAACCAGAAAATGGGACCTCAAAAACCCAAATTTCCTCATTTAGCTATGTAATACACAATCACTCAGCTGAATCAAACCACCAAAAGGGCTTCTAGACATGTTTGACGGAAGAGGTTAAAAGTGCTTATAGATCATAGCAGGTGCTTCCTCGGTAACCCCTTGCAAGTTCTTTTGTAGGAAGCACTTGAACACAAGTGCTTCCTACAGAAGTCGCAATCCGGGAAAATCTCTCTTTGATTGCCAAAATAATCAGAAAAAAAAAAACCCAAAGGGAAATGGAATCCAAGCTTTTGATTATCCATATTAACATGTGTGATTTAAGTTTAACCCAATTGAGCAGTCAACTCAAAACTGAAATTTACAGATTACCCAAACACAGTCTTACGTAGAAATTAAGGAAATTGAAGTAAAACAAGTAAAAAGGTAAAAAAGGTAAAAACTTTGGGATTACCCACCAGATTTGGAGAAGTTAAGGAAAGAGAGGTCATCAGCGGAAGTGTAGACAGGAACAGGAACCCTGGAAGAAGTGGAATTAGTAAGAGGAACAAGAGGGTTTGGTCTGTTGAGGTTGAGACTGTTGAGGAAGGAGCTGTTTAAGAAGGTTGGGGATGCTGCTGATATTCCCAACGGTATCGTCCGCATTTCTTGGACCCTGTTTCTCTCTCTCTCTCTCTCAGATTCTTTCTTTTTTGGGAGTGGGGCTTGTTTCAGCAAGATGACACCTGATGAGGAAGCCACTGTGTGTTTGACGCCAAAAGTAACTGAGTTACCTAACTTTCCGTCCACACGTGTCTTGTGTTGGGGACCGTGCCGTTTCTCTCATTTCACTTCGGGTAAAAGTAAAACCCATGTTTTTTTTACTTTGTTGGAGTAAATCACTAAATGACCATGATTTTTTTGGTGCAAGTTAAGCCTGTAAACGGTAAAGATTATGCCGTTTTTTCACATGTAAATCTTGTTTGTGAATGTAAACAGATGATGTCTGCAGAATAGCCAGAGGTTTTAATGGCAGTTGGACACTATTTCGGCTATGGAACGAGATAATGTATCAATACTATCGTCATCAAGAAAATGTAACGACGTATTATTAAAATACATTTTCAATAGTATCGATGAATGTATGTTCTTTAATAAAGAATGAGCATCTCTGTATATAGGATTTCTACTGGACAATTCGACTTTAGGGCTTCAGGTAGAGCAACCTGTCACTATAAACACAATTTTATTTGACGATATCTTAATACAAAACTTAATAACACTTGAAAATGATAATGGTAATGCTATATTAAAACCCATATATCCTTGGACAAACCAATTTGTGTGTCTGCTTACATATAATTCATTTTCTTTTCTTCAATCTGAAATTTCCTATGTTATTGCAAGTAAAACGTATAAATTAAACTCGAAGCACCTAAAAATTAACAGGAAGATTGCTCAAAAATGCAAGGGTGTGGGGGGACGTCGACTTGCCAAACAGCGAACACCAAGGAGGAAGCTTCGATAGAACTCTTTCGACTTTAGGAGTCACTATGTCCATATCAGTTCTTAACCTTAGAAGGGGAGCGTGCTCGTCTCTCTTCCCTTCAACATCGTGAGCCAGCCGGGTAGAGTTTTGAGACCAGAAGAGTGCAAGATCGAACCTTGTTGGTGCATTTTGTCCTCCGGAATACTGGATAACGTGCCATCCATCTACGCTACTCATGTCACCCAAAGAAGCCAATTCCTCCGAGCTTCCTGCAACTGAGGTTAAAAGCTCGTGAGAGAAAGCTAAAAACAACATAAGGGATAAAGCTAAGTGACTAAGTCCATGTATACGTGGTACAAACATGAACTTTTCAGCTTAGCACTTCATTTACGAATCACAAGTATGGAAATAGCGAGGTCAAATAATGCACATGGTTAAGGTTTAGTTTACCTTTGAATGTGAAATCTTCTATGTCATCAGCGTTGATAGCAAGTGTCCAGCGTGTTGAACCTTTTGTATCAAGTAGTACTCGTGTTGTTCTTTCATTACCATGAGTATCGCTACCAACGTTCATTGTGGGTATATCTGATTTGCTCCATCCACTGTCACTGTCATCATAAGTCCAACAACTGTACTTGGCTGAAAAGGTTACAAGATCAACAACTTTGTCTCTACCACATCTGAAACCTTCATTAATTTGCTCAGCCTCCTTTGTCAACTTTCCAGGAGTGAAAGAAAACAAAGACACATATGATCTAGGATCTTGGTTTCCATCAATGCTTCCTGTCGTATCTACAACATGCACAACCTGAAAACCATAAAGTATTTGTAAACATGCATACATCTAGACATTCTATGTTAACAGGACAAATAAAGTATTCCTAGTTAGTGATATTTCAATAACATAATGGATTATGCACAGAAAAAGTAAAGAGTTTCATTGGTAACCTTACAAAATTAGGAATTAAGAGGTAAGGACACTCTAAGAGGTAGGTGCTAACAGAAACTTACATTTACAGCTCTGGATGTGTCTGCGGTAAATGGTGGAACGATACCCAACAATACAACAGCAAGTGAGAGGCCGAACAGCATGCAAGTTGAAAGGACAATCGATCTCTTGGCACCTATAGAGCAATTGTGATGAATCATCCAAGTTAGTTTAAAGATAAAACAAGGCAGTGAAGTTCTCTCCATAAAAATTAATGACATCGATGGCACCATACACTTGAGAACTCAACACCACCTTAAAAAATCCAACTGCTTTGAGATAAACAAAAACCTGAAAGATGAATATATGACAGGAGATACACCAAAGTCAGGCACACAACAATAGCAACAAAAACAGCAACTATAACATTCGCTAGCCACTCGGGGGTGCCACCTGGGTTCCTGTAAGCCAATACAAGGCAAGGTAAACAGTTATTTTCCAAATTTTTGGAGAATTAACAAAAAGATTAAATTTTGAACGTTGTCATGGACAGATCACAATGCGGAAAAGCTTGCTGAATGGGCAAATAGCTACAAAAAATAATTTACACAAACAGACCATGGACTCTTGTTCTGCAGGATTTTGTAAAGTATTAATTACAAAGCCATACAAATAAATAAGTCGCATTACCTGTCAAGTCGAACCACAGTCCCAATTACCATTCCAGCCAGCCGAATAAATCCGCCGGAAGAAATTAATATTGGTACAGCTAATCCTATCAGCAGGGTTGCAAGTCTGAGTGGCTTGGGGAATCGAGCTGGGGTTAGAGTCGCTTCAAGAAAGCCATCTGAACAGAAGTATTTAAAATTAGTTGAAAGCAAATCCTATAACCTCGTCAAAAACATGGTTAAATCAAACATAGGTCCAGCAAAGGTGGTCGTAAATATAAACTCACATGCGAATGCTGGTGGGACCAACCAAGCAAGAGCCAAATAAGTTGATCCAATTTTGTAATAGGTTCCCAAAATGAGGAGAACGAGCCACTGAAGAGATCCAGATTTGTAGAGCCATCTTTCAGCCTCTAATTTAACCAAACCAGCTTGTATATCAGGTGAGAGTTGTTTTTTCTTGGCGTATACTTTTGACAAATACGTATGCAGACCAAGATAACCCAGATATTGACCACTTAACGCCCCAATAAGAGCAGGTGCGCCAAATAACCCAATTACTAGCCATGGGTTTGCAACATATGGCACTGGTGAAGAAGATATTAGTGATATAATGAAGGCAGGAAGAAGAGCGAAACTTATTGCGAATATCCACATTAATATGATACTCAAACATGACAAGGTCAATGAAATTGCAGCCGGATAACCACCCATAAGCAATGACGTAGTCCATATCAGAAGTGATTGCGCTATCACTGAATTATGAAGCATATTTGCAAAGCGTTGACGATACACGATCATATACGACCCCTACAATTTCCACAACGGTTAGAACCACATTGCAAACCTGGACTATCAGGGCAACTGAACACTACAGGTTTAAAATCCAAAACCATCTCGGAAAAGAAACAAAGAAAAAGATGTAACGAAGAAATCCAAAGGGTTGAGTGTCAAGAATCAAAGCATAAAAATGATAAAGTTTCTGCAGTTATAATATACCAATATGTCAAAATATATGGCAGCAGTCTCGCCCTTATTCTCTTCTACCACTGCACTGGCTTTTGGAAGATGAGAGGAAGCAGCAATCTTTAGCAGAAAAGCAAGCATATTTTCTCCAAGATGCTGAAGAGATCCTAATGTATGAAGCTCGATTTTGTCATTCTGCATGATAAGAAAAATTTAGATCATAAACAACAATCAACATGGAGAACCAACTTAAGTCCCAGTGCCCTTCCCCATCTGGCAGGTCTGTTAGTTTGTATACTATTGGTTAACATTCATAATTACATAGGTGGAAGCACATTAAAACCATCCTATCTCCACAAGCCAATAAAGTTACATGCATACGCAAAGGCTAAGCACTAATTAACCCCTCCTGTAAATCTCACACCTATGCTCCGAATAGATTTTAGAACTATATCCCAAAAAAGGGGCAAAAGAGAAGAAAAAAACCTTTGTATGGTATACTGCAGTGTTATCTGTGTACGCGAAGTCGAGCCCTGGAAGGCCCGCAACCTCCTTATATACTTGGAAATCTGTTGCAGATTTTATGGCTCCAGAAGAAAATATATCCTGCAGCATTAAAATCATTAAGACTTAAAAGCACTTTTCCCAAGTGAATACACATGAAAAGTATCAAAGAGAAAACGAGAAAAAAACTATCAAAAAAGAATTACAAACCTGTCCTATAATTTGGCCAGACGGGTATTTTGCTACCGAGGCAAAATTCTCAATAGACCAAGCATCAGCCTATCAGATGAAGAAATATTCATAAGGGAAAAAGTAAGCTTAAACAGGATTTTATATGTACGATCTCACTTAAAAAAGTATAAAAATAAGAATAAAAGATTTACAGTAACCAGATTGTATCAGCAATTTAGAGCATCTTAAGGTAGAGTAAGCTATAAACTCCAAGTTTTAGGACAATAAAGAATGGACAACCATAAGTGAACTATCTGCTCAATTCCAGACCGTGATGATGCACAAGCACTTTGAAGTTAGATGCAGCCTGTCATGGGTACCCGCGATTGTGTTTACAATGGTCCATATCAGGGCACTTGGCAACATTGATAGAGGGAATAAATTACAAGTTCCCTGTTTTCTTCATTTTGGTTCTCCAGATGTTGGTCTTTAACACAGTGATAAAATACATATATAGCAATGTTATGACACTAGAAAGATTTGGTAAGTTCAGCATGTCCCACACTTTCTGGAACTACATAAATTTGACTTGACACACCTGCTTGACACAGCTTATACAGAGGTCATTTAGCTAGACTCTACAGTACCAAGAGCATATAGTCATGACTCATATCTCATAAGCCATGTAAAATTGTAAAAGCAAGTGAATTATCATTACAAACCTGACCTGAAATATGCCAGACTTCCCTCCAATACCCATAGCCTCCAAATCAACAGCCAGACGAATAGTTGTACTCCACGGATGCTGCACCAAAAAAGTCAGAAACAAATGTAAGACAGAAGTTCTATAAACAACAATCTTTAAGAACAGAGCAGAGAGAGAGAGAGAGAGAGAGAGAGAGAGAGAGAGAGTCCACGTTAACCTGAGTTATAAAGCTATGAGCACCATTTAGACCCTCCTCCTCCCCAGTATTAAACAAAAATATAACAGCATGCTTAAATCCATGAGCCCACTGGGAAACCCCACGAGCAAGTTCCAACATGACGGCTACACACGAACTGCAATCTCCAGCCCCTCCCCTGAAATGCGTCAAAAAATTTCCTTCAAGTATCACATAAAGCCTATACAACTTGTAAGAGTGATAGTTCAAATAACATGCCATCAAATTCAGCTACTGAAGGTGTGTGTCAAAACCCGTAATTGTTCAAACTTACATCGCATATTAAATTGAAAATCCAAAAACAATATAGCTTCTATTCGCACAATTCACCAACATGGATACTTCAGCTAGCAACAAATATGATCACCTTGACAAACGAAACTGAAAAAGGCAATAAAATTGAGATTATATAAGCTGAAGAGACATACGTTGAGAAGACAGTGTCGATGTGGGAAGAGACCAGAATCGCATTATCTACTGATTCAGGCGCATACTTTGGCAAAACTCTTACAACAATATGATTTAGATCCGCATATACAAGTGTTCTTCCCTTGAACAGGCCACCAACCATTCGATTTGCTCCCAATTCGACATGGAACGAGTCCACTTCAACATCAACCTCCCAGTGAGCAGTTTTCTTGATCTTCTCAGCTTCTGCCAAAACATACTGTGGGGGTGAAAACCCATGTTAATAAAACCCAAAGATTGCTTCTTTCACAAGAATTTAAGAAATCCAAGATTGCTTTTTCTATAAGAATTAAAAAGAATTGGGGATATGGGATTCGATGAATCAATAAGTGAGAACCTGGAGAGCTAGGTTGAGAGCATTGGAGCCGACAGAGTGAGGGCCCAATTGGGTCAAGGCCTCGACGTGTTTGAGAGCTGAAAACTCAGAGAAGCCGCGCTTTCCGGCCTGGTCCGCCGTGAGCGGCTCGGGCAAGCTCTCAAACTGGTATTGGTAAACTCCATAAGAACAGTATCCGATGGCCAGGAACAAGGTGAGCCAAACGAATGGTGACCGCCGAGGCCTCTGCTGTCCGACCCATGAAGTGGAAACTGGTTCTGCTCCGGTGGGTGATGGATTGGCGGTGGCGGGTGCCGGAGTCTGCTGGGGCCTCCGTCGCATTGCGAAGTGTCGTCGGAGAAAGTAGGAAAAACTGTGATTGGATATTGGTTGCAGTCTGAATAAATCTAAAAAGTCAGACCATCGTGGCTTTTGCTTTATCAACACTTGTAAGTGGACTGAGATTTCGATTTCATAATTCGGTTACGATGCCTACACTTTTAACCGTTAAATTTTATTTTTGTATTTTTATCAAAGATTTAGAAAATTTAGAGTATCTGATGCACTGGAACACCGGATAAATCCTATATGATGTAAATTTGATGATAATAATTCAATTAGAATTGCTCTTATGGTGCTCATTTTGAGGACATGTGTGGTCGTTTTTCATATGAATCATCAAATTAATCTTATTGTAGATTAAGAGGGTGTATTCAATTGAGAATTTGAGAGATTTTAATGGATTTATAAATCTATGGATTTTTATAGAGTTTAACTGATTTGTAGAGATTTCATGTAAAATTTTGATTCAATTCCCTCGATCTCATGGGGAGAGGTGAAATTTGTAGATGCTTAAAATACACTATAAAATCTCTCCAATTCCCTCTAATTCCTCAACTTTTCCAAATTCTTTAAATTAAAATTCTAATTGAATACACCTGGAATGTTATAAACTTCTTTAAAATTCTAATTGAATACACCCAGATTTCTAAGGATTTTAATAAATTATTTTAAAATCCTAATTGAATACACATTGAATTTCAGAGAATCATTTAAAATCCTGAATTTCAGATAATCATTTAAAATCCTGATTGAATACCCCTAGATTCATTAAAAGAATTAAAATCCCTCAAAATCCCAATTGAATACACCCCCTAAGCTATTAACTTAAATAATCCACCAAAACATAATAATTCTGCAAAGGGATTGAATTAAAATAAAATTATTGCGTGAAACCTTTCGTCTTCTTCCCCTAGTGTGTCTCTCCTCCACATCCCCTTCCTCTCTTCACTGTTGCTAGAAAATTTCATATGACAAGAGTTCACTCGTTCAAGAAGAAAGGGATCCATTTTTGAAACCACACGATCTGTCACATCTCATCACATCCCGGGCTTGACTCCACTGTAGCACGATATTGTCCACTTTGGGCCCTGACCACGCCCTCACGGTTTTGTTTGGTTTTGTTTTTCGGAACTCACATGAGAACTTCCCAGTGGGTCACCCATCCTGGGATTGCTCTCAGGCGAACTCGATCAACTTCGGAGTTTTTATGGAACCTGAAGCCAGTGAGCTCCCAAAAGATCTCGTGCTAGGTAGAGATGAGAATATACATATAAGGGCTTACAGGATCCACTCCCCTGGACGATGTGAGATGTAACACGATCTCAATTATTTGGTGATTTTGTAACTAACTGAGTCTGAATATTGTTGATAAAAATTGGATGAAATTGGATGTGTAAAGTTATTAGGGTTTTATGCAATTGGATTTGTTGGGTTTAGATATTCGATGAGGAGACTAAGTTTTTCAGATGGAAGAGATTCAATATGACGTGAAACCTTTTTACCTCTTTTTTTTTTTTTAATTTATTATTTTATCAATTAGTATTTTGTTTCGTGTACAAGAATTATTTAAATTAATAACTAATATAACATAAGATTAATCTGATAGTTTATATAAAAAAGGCCTCATAGGTCCTTAAATAGCAGCTCTCATAATCCAATTGTATATATTTGTTGTAAATACGTCATGAGTAAAATTTTGTTGGTACAATGATGTAGTTATATCAGAATATTAAATTGGTATCAAATTTATTAGTCACTATATTTGACCTCAAGACCATTGAAGAACATCACTAACAGTCGGACTAGGTCGTAAGGACGTTTTTAAATGCCAACAAATGTAGATGTCAATGACAACCAAAAATATTGTAATATTAAAATGAAGGTTTTTTTTTTTATTTTTTTTATTTTTTTTTTAATATACTCTAGGATATCATAGTTTCAATAACGTGTTTGTTTTAACTTTTGTTTAGTAAATTTTTGTTAATATGAAACCTTTTTTTTTTTGTACCAAACTCTACAACTTAGTTTCATGATTTCATCGTCTATTGTTCATGATTATTCTTAAATCTAATCATGATTGATTGATCAATTAATCATCATTATGGTTCTCTCCGTATTTTTAAAAAAAAAAATTTAAATTAAAAAAAAGGTGCAAAAAATGGATGATTTTATTTTTTTTATATATAACATATATATGAGATACAAAATAGTGAGCTTGGCATACAAGAACAAAGTTGCAAAAATAAAATGTCGATATACAAAGAAAAATGTTGTTGATTTTTCATATAAAAGGGATCATCTTTTAATGCAATTGGATAGTAATTAGGTATGAATTGATAAGTTGAATATGATGCCAAATATGATCGACATTTGGTAATTTAATTATGTAAACTACCAAGACAAACACTCTCAAGAACTTAATTATGACCATCGTTTTATATTTTCCAACTTTTTAAACTTTTTTCAATCATAAAGTAGATGATTCGAACTTGAGATACCTTTCAATATTTGGAAAGTTGGTCCCAGTTTATAGTCTTTATATGTTTTTATATAGGGATGGATTCGTGACACCACTTTTTTTTACATAACTTTTGACACAAGTTTTTGTGGGGTCCGCTTTGTAATGTATTTCAACCCAAATCGTCTATCTTTAGTCTTTCCTCAAAAATCATGTCTATCAAAAATACCAAAATCTGAAACCATATGACTGTTGAATTAAGGGTTTCTTTGTAGAAATATATTCGTTCATTTTCTTCACTACAAAACGAATATCTTAATGGTTTTGGATTTATCTAATTTTTTGTAAAGATGATCTATGAATAATGTCCTAAAAGATAGACGGTTCGGATCGCTAAAATACATTACGAAGTAGACCCCACAAAAACTTATACAAAATAAGTGGTACCACGAATCAGCCCATTTTTATATAAAGCTAAATTGTAGCAATAATCTTTGCTTGCGTTGTACTATTAGTTATTTACGTTAACTACATTACTATTCTCATAAACTGGGAGAGTAAATAAGGATCTCCTTCTAATAAAATTAAGAAAAATGCAACAATGTTTAGAATTTATGACAAAAAATTAACTCGAATATAAATGAGAAACGAAGAATAAGTTAATGGTGAAAGTATTTTTCCTCTTTCAAATAAGAAAAAGAGAAAATTATAGCATTGGTCCCTTAACTTTAACTTAATTGGAACAATAGTCCCTCAACTAAAAATTCATGACTATTTGTCTCTTAACTCATCAAAACGTACAAATATGGTCATTTTCGTCGACTCCATCAAAATGACTCATGTTGGAAGGACCATTGCTATAATTGAGTTAAAGTTGGGGGATTATTACTCCAATTAGGTTAAGTTGAAGACCATTGCTATAAAAAAATTTCATTTGGTTTTCCATATTTGCCCCTAGATTTAGCCTCATGTGCGTGACATGTGACTATTTTGACAGAAGTTTTAACAGAGTTAACAAAAATGACTATAGTTGCATGTTTTGATGAGTTAAGGGACCAATAGTCATCAATTTTTAATTGAATAACCATTGCTCCAATTAGGTTAAAGTTGAAGGATCATTGCTACATAAAAGAAAAATAAGACGAGCGTTGAGCATTTGACACACGCGATATTTTCCAAGAACGTCACGTATTACATTACATATAGAGACCGCCCTCCGCATCTTCGTCTCGTCAAAAAACAAAAAAGGACTCAACTTCGCTACCTAAAAGAACTCAACAGAAACAAAAAATTATGAACCCGGCCCGCCCTCTAGCGCACCCGGTTGAGATGCTGATGTCGCAGACTAGCCGAATGGCCACAGGGAATCCCCTGCCTTGCGGAATAATGAACAACCTCTCCGGCATGCCGGGCAGGCGCGGAGGCCTGACCTTGCGCCTCAACCAGTTCACCTTTTGCTTTCATCTCCCTCTGCATCATGGCTTCCACTAATGACATGTGCATCTGGGACGGACCTTGTAGAAGAATCAGTTTATGTTGGTGGATAAGCATGGAAGCTGGATCAGATGCACTGCAGCTGAAGAATGAAAGAAGGAAATGGAGTTCGAATGGTCTAGGTGTTAGATTAGTTGAATTTCAAATAATGTAATGAACATACAAGATTATAACATCTCCATGGCGTATATCTTGCCACGTGTCTAGTTTGTTAGGAGTTAAATGAAAGTATGTGATGTGCACGTGATCATAGTCACGTTGCAAGTGTGTGTGTGTGGGTATGCAACGACTATAAATCCCACCATGTATGCCGATTTTCATGGATCGAATCCAATGTAGATTCGAGGAGCAATGTACTCCTTCTCTCTCTAAAGTTCATCTCTAATATTCAATCTTTGAATTCATTTCAATTACTTGTTGAATTGATTACAAATACATAGAAGAATTTAGCTCAAAAGTAGCTCAAACTCTAACATTTTAACAAGTGCTAGAATGAATTATGATGGTATGATTCGGAGGTCATTTGTCAGAAGTTACCGTGCCATTTCTAAGCATTAGTTATATCTTAATCGAATCACGTTCTGGCTAGTCGGTCTTGTCCTAAAAAGTGGAAAACTTTCCTAGGATTAGTAGCTAATACTCGTAGATTAGTAAAGAACTAATTTTCTTCTTTCTGTTTTTAAGTGCTATGTTTTTTGCCAGATTGTTTTAGAAGCCACTCATGTTTTGCCGAAAATTGTCCCGCAAGCAAGCTGCTTGCATATTAGCATTAACTAATTTCTTTCGTTTTCTCAATCCTAACTAGCTACGGCTTATCTGAGTTGGTTGGTTGTTTCGTCATCATTAGCTATGGCTTATCTGAGTTGGTTGGTTGTTTTGTCATCATTTATTCTGAATTACTGGACTTTGGCATCCAAGCAAAATCGTTGAAGCTTCAAGGCCTTTCCCGTTATGTTTTTGGTGGAATTTTTTTGAAGGCTGTCTTCGATTAAGTGCCCGAGTATTTTTACACCTTATATATCGCGCTTCAGCGGCGATTGAGTAGCTGGGAAAGCTCACAAATTGTAAATGCTTTGATAGATTTATCATATTATCGGGGTTATATTTTTGGGAAATACCGAGAAATAGGACAGTTTTTAAATCTCGGGGACAGAAATAAGACATTTCAAATATACACACGGAACGTACACGCCTGGCACAAAAATCAGACATAAATATGATTTTTCTACAC